CAGTGAAGATAATACAATTTTGCGCTTCACTACCTGATTGGTTCTCACTTTATAAGGCCTGCCCCTCAGTGTGTGAAATTTCGGTGTCACTTACTAATCGCTGAGATGGTTTTACGCATTTTACTTTAACCCAATGTTTTGCCTAGTCTGTAGATGTACAGATGAAATTTGACTCAAAGGATGAAATCAAAGTGAAAAAAAACGATCATCCGAAAATATCCAAGGTTACCGTTCATCCCCTCGTTCTACTCGGTGTTGTCGATCATTTTAATCGTGTGGGGAAAATCACTGGGGGTCAGAAGCGTGTTGTGGGTGTCTTACTGGGTGCATTGCGTGGAAGTGTACTGGATGTCAGCAACTGTTTTGCAGGTATGTGGATCACAGCTACTATTTGCTAGTTCCTTTCGAGGAGGATGCGAACGATCCGAATGTTTGGTTCCTTGACAATGATTATCTTGAGAACATGTTTTCAATGTTCAAGAAAGTAAACGGTTCGTGTGTTTCAGCAGCACTAATTCTATTTAGCTCGTGAACGCATCGTCGGCTGGTACCACTCTGGTCCCAAACTTTGCACAAACGACATCAAAATTAATGAACTTTTCCGGAAATACACATCAAACTCAGTTCTTGTTGTAGTTGATGTTAAAACAAATGAAAGCGATGGGATCCCCACTGAGGCCTATATTGCCGTCGAGGAGGTCCACGATGTAGGCATATTCAAGTATTTATGCGCAAATCATGCTGTACTCGGTAAGGCTGTGTGGTTGAAAGTAGCTCAGTTAATACTCAGCAGCCTAGCTTAATGTTGTGCCACTTCTGAAGTGATTGTCACTGGTAGGATCCGGGCGAGTAATTTGCGCGGTCACTCCATTGCGTTCAAGACCATGATTGCTAGATCCGGTTCTTTCGTTATGCTTTACTACGCTTTTGCTCTTACGCTACTTTTCGGGTTAACTTTAAAGGACGGAACCCCGACGACAAAAACGTTCGACCACCTTCTCTCCGAGATTGGCGCTGAAGAGGCTGAAGAAGTTGGTGTGGAGCACCTTTTGAGGTTGTATAATACAAGCCGTTCTTAAGTCCTCCCTGTTTTAATGTGTTAATTCTCCCTTTTTCATTCCTTTAGAGACATAAAGGATTCCTCTTTAGGCAGTCTCACTCAACGAATCGATGCTAAAATCAGCGGATTAAGCGGAATGCTTCGGCAGTTGGAAGGAATTCAGGAGTATCTCCAACTAGTCACCACTAAGCAGATACCAATCAATCATCAGGTGATGTACAAGCTGCAGGACATGTTCAATCTCCTTCCTGATGTCCGCCTGCAAGAAATGGTACGGTCGCTCAACATGACCTCCAACGACCAAATGCTCGTTATCTATGTGGCCTCAGTCATGCGAGCAGTTCTAGCTCTGCACGACCTAATAAATAACAAACTGGCTAATCGGGAGAGCGAGAGGAATGAAGATGAGGGCAAGAAGACCACCAAGCCGGCCGTGGCTGGAGACCAACCGAAGGACGAGACTGAAAAGGCATCCGAAAAGAGGGCCTAACTTCGCGAACCTTTCTGTGCGATGCTCATAATTTGGTCCCCAATATATGCATGCCTCCTCATGAACTACTTCGCTGACAGGAATCAGGAAATCAGAGCAAACGCTGGTGACATATCAGTTATTAACTAATTAATGCACAGAGTCCTTGGTAGATCAAAAATCCGTTAGTGCTTCTTTGGGGATGAGAATGGGGATTCCATTGACGATGCGGTAGGCAATGTGGAGGTCTTCGTTTATAAGTAGCCGTCTCTCAATGTCTAGTCTGCAAGAGTAACAGAATCGATAGTCTTACTTGAGCGGTTTTTTGCTGATAGGACAAACGAGGACGTCTAAATGCTTTGGATCAAATGTGGGTGCCGTGGATGAGCTACATCGAGGGAACCTGGCGATCCGATAGAAGAGACGCCCAAACATCACCTATTCACCAAAAAGGTAAAGGTTGGAGGACTTGCGGTCCTCCTAGTTATGAAAAGTGAAGAGTTCTGACTCAAGAGGATTTATTTTTATCGATATCAATAGTAGGTAACTTGGAATCGGGGTGAATTATTTCAAAGCTGGAGGGGCGGTAGGAGGCGTTGGGTTGTAATGGGGTTCGGTTTCGCGTTCCACAAGCAGTACAGATGAGCAAGATTCCTGTTTTATGGAACCGAAGACGACATGTTGTGCGGGAGTCAAGTATTAGATGGCAGCCTCGACAGATTGACCGCCGCATAACCGGCGACAGACGCACACGTGATTTCTT